ATTATGAATTAAGCTAGCAACTATACATGCATGCATTGACAGGATATTATTACGACAAAGGCAGCTATCTTTTCAAGAAGTAGGGGACATTAAAACACTACTGAATGACAAGCAGAATCAGGAGCCTTTCAGCAGAATTTAATCAGAGACTGTTCTAGAAGCTCAGAGACAGTGCTGGGAGTTCCATTCTTTCCAAAGAATCAGATGCTTCTGAGTATAATCTGCATACAAATCCCTGGTTTACATGCAGAGGATCCCCACAGACTATTGGCTGCGGTACCTCATGCACAAGAAATATTTTCAACAGCTTGAATTTAAGGAAGGTCTTATTATCCAAGGTTGGTTTTTTTCTTTCCTTGAAATTCAAACAAAATTAAATTAAACTAACAATATAAAGAAGGAAATCTGAGTGCAGAGATGGAAAATATTTGAAATGTTTTCAAGTAAACAATCTACATGGAAAGTGTTTGAAATGTTCCTGTGTAATTTATGGGAAAGGTTTGCTGAAGCAATCTTTAGTTGAGGAAGACACACTAGATACATCAAAACTACTGAAGAAAAAGAATCTAGCTCTGAATACAGCATTACTGTGCTTCCAAATGTTTCTGAGTGATATACAAACATACACAGCTTCATGTAATCAGCTGTCACACTAAAAATTATAAACTGCTCGAAAAAAAATAAATGATAGCAGGGAAACATATGTGTTAATTTACAAAAAATTCTTATGAATTTCATGATTTTTAAAAAGCAGGAAATACTGAATGAAAAAGGTGCACCCAATGTTTGAGCCAATAAAACTGTATTTTAGAAGATAACCTTTTATAGCTATTATATTCATTGACATTTGTTTTCTATTCATTTGCTTCTTCACTACTGTCTTCTGTGGTATCATGCCACCATGACCAAGGTGACAGACTTTCGTCTCTGCTGGATTAATCAGTGTGTTCTTTGATCCATAACATATGCTCTTGGTAGACATTTAGAGTCAACATATTCAAGATTTGTGGTCTGGCAGTTCAGTGCCTGATGTTAACCCAGCTGACAGTTTAAAGTATTTAAATTTTTTATTTGAGCCTGTCTTTTGTACGTAAGAGAAGTTAAACAATGGAACAAACATGCGTTGTTATATGTTTGGGTTAATATCTTTGCTTAGAGATTCCTTTTTTCTGGCACTGAGAGGTTGCCCAGACAAATCTCAGATCCACATAAGCACCATATGTACATTTTTCTGCACATCGGAGGCCCAGGATTCATGGCCAGGTCAGTCTGCCTGTGTGGAGGAGGACACAGACTGCACACCATGGCTTTGAGGTGGTGGGGCCTGCCAAGGGCACTGCTTTGCTGACACTGCGGGGGCACAGCCAGCTGCTGCAGCCAATGGAGGAGCCCTGGGAGCAGTTACTTAAGGTGCTAAAAATTCCCCTGCTGTGACTTAGAGGACTTTGTGTTGAGACCCCAGAACCAGACCTGTGAGATGGTGCTGGAAGACAGTGCAGGATGCAGAAGGAGCAGGGCTCTGCACTTAGCTCTCCACAAGGAGCTTTGCTCCTGGCCCTGCTCATCTGCAGAGGACGAGGACTTGGATTGAGCTGCAGAAGCACATGATTGATCCCAAGTTTGCTCTGCTCTAGGAGCTGTGTTAAACTTGTTAAAAGGCTGCATCAAAGAAAACTGGTAGTGGGTGGCATAAAGATGACAGAAGGAATAGGGGGGTAACCAAAGATATTTTTCTTTAGAATTTCAATTAAATTCATTGATGAGTTTCAAACTATTTAATTATTTTTTTATTGGGAGGTATAGAACATGATTTATGGCCCAGCCTCTCCTATTCTGATCATACTGCTGTAAAATGCTGCATAAAATATTACTTTCTACTATGACATGCACAGATAGAAATGGCAAGTGTAAAATGGCATTAGCTATTCTCAGAATAGTCTGGTTTTGAAATTACCTACATAAGGCCAGTGCTGAAACTCCCATTGACCTCAGGGTGCTGAATTATGTCCCTATCCTCATCTTCCTCTACAGACAGGAACAAACCTGTCAGTGGCTGACCTGTATTGGGTCCCAAAATATATACTGTGCAATGCAGAGAAGATTGCTTTGTGTTTTTATATAAGGAAAAAAAAAAAAAAAAAAAAAAAAAAAGCATTGTCCTGCCATGAAGAATTAAACAGAAAATGAATGGAGAAACCAAATGTCAGCTGCTCCCTTAGACTTCAAGGTTCAGGAAACTCTACTTTGTGGGAGTGGGAAAAGACTGGCAGGCTGGATTGTAAGAGAGTAATTGTATTATAAGAAGATTATGGCAGATTATTTTGCTTGCGGGTCCCAGATTTCTGCAAAAACAATCCTGAATTGCATCCTACAAGGCAAAATGAATTCACCCATTCCTCTAAATGACAGGGTTTTATTAACGGCATATTCATTTGGTGTGCTTAAAATTAAAAATGGACTCATAGTACAAAACGTTACATGCATCTTTCTTGCATCTGACAACATGGAGCTCGATGAGATTAACAGTGTGGCAGTTCATAGCAAGAAAAAAAATAATTGTTTTTTCAATAGACAACCCCCATAATAATTCAGAAATCAATATGCATCCTCAGAGAATTTCCCCCAGCAGAGGTTTGGAAAAGCAGGGTGCCCTGCCTGCATTTCCTTATGAATGTGGAGCTGCTGAAGTCTTGGCTAGCCTGACTTCTTGTTTTTTTAATGTTTAACTATAACCACTGGGACTGGAATCATAGCTTCTACTGGCCTCATATGAATATTAATAAGACACTGGGCCATGGAGCTCCTTGCTGATTTTGACAGTTTAAAGGATCAGTTAGTTAATTAGAAGATGACATGGCACATCTCATCCCTTGGCTCCGTCCTGCCTTCTGTCTCCTCTTTTCATTTTCTTTTCTGACACGTTAGATTACATCATTACTTGTAGTTTCACTTGTTAGCCACACCATGAAATGAGAATATTTTAAGCTTTAATTATTTTGTTTTCTGTTCTCTGCTAAGAACGTGAAACTCAAAGAAAGCATACAGAAACTTGAATATCAAGGACCTAGGAATATGTGTTTGGCAGTTTATAACTGCAAAATACAGCCAATAAACAGGAAGGGATTTTAAGTAGCAAAGAAAATCATGTTGATCACCATATTAGCAACTAAGCTGTTACGTAGGTGCCCTCATTGTCTGTGTTTTATTTGTGAGTTGTTCAATGTTTTCATAGCTGTCTTTCTCAGTAAACTGAAATTTCTTCCCTCCAGCCATGAACTGATTGTGCCTCTAGACATGTACATTCAATCCAGTACGTTCATTCCACTGTGCCATCTTCAAAAAATGTGTGTGAGTTGTCTATCATCATCACAGTCAGAACAGGCAAAAATAATTGGAACAGAAAACATGGTACTATGCAGCAGCCCTTGTTTTTGAAAAGGAGGAAAGATAATAAAGATGGACAGTGAATAATATGTTTCACTACCATGTTTACATATTTCTTGATACTCCAAAATAGACAACCCACAACCCAAAATATAAAAACAAATAAAAATTAAGCTCTAAATCATACAGTAAACCATAAAAACTTGAACATTTTACAGCCCAGTGTCTTACTGCAGTTAGCCATTATGACACAAATTCTGGACTTGCAATAGTAGTTTGAAAGAACCAAAATCATTTATTTTGTGTATGACTAAATGATCTTGTTAATTAATACTTGTCTTTTAAATCAAAATTCCATCTGTAAAATTCTTATCAAAGATGTTGATCTATTCTCACAGAGAAAGCAAAAGAAACATGTGCAGCTCACTTTCTTGGTAGGCTTGCCAGTCTGAGAAAGAAGAGTCTGCAGGAAAATCTCATTCCACTTCCTGCATTGTGGAGAGCCTGCAGCTATGGGGTTTTATTTTAAATTATGAGAGTAGTGGGTGACTGTGTGCTCCAATAGGAATGAGTATTTCTAGGTTATTATGGGTATTCATCACTGTGCCTGTCTGCGTACTTTCATATTTCTCTTATCAAACATTTATATTTTTGTATTCATTTCAATTCTCCTTAATCAATACTGGTTCTCAGAGTATGTATACTGAAGGAGAGGATAGCAGAGAAAGTACATCTACACAGTAATTGTGTATGGTTAGCCAATACAATAACCTGTGTAAGTAATTTATTTTTTTCATTAAGGTAAATGTGTGCCATTGATTCACAGGGCTGCACAAAAATACAGTGCTAATAACAAGTGGAAATAGCTTCCACCACCACTTACGATCAAGGTAGATCAAGTTAACTTAGAAGGAGCAACACTGAGTTTTGTGGTCTCCAGGAATGAGCTGTACTCATTGGCCCAGAACTGCTTGTTCAAAGAGAACAAAGTTAGATGCAAAAAGTTTCCTTCCTGTGTTAGAGAAGGAACTTGGCTCCAGAATATCTTTTATCAAATCAGTGATATCACAATAGTATTGATTTCACAATGAAACAAGAAATGAACAGTGTAGCTGCAGTTTTGTAGGCTGGCAAGATTATACTGTGAACAGGATAAATGGAAACCAAACACCACACAAAACTGTTGGTGTATTTTATACACTGAACAATAGAGAACTCAGAGTGCACAAGAGCACTCAGCAGGACTGTAGCCATTTTCTGTGTTCTTCTGTATCTGGAAGATGACAGTTTTAAGATTATGTCTCTGTTGGCACTAGGAAAACACAGATGAAGTTCACAGCACTGGCACAGCCTGCCCTGGACTGCAAACCACTTGAGTCACCATGAGCCTCAGTCACTTGTCTCCTACCCAGTGTGTCTGATCTGTTTTGACAGTACTTTGCTGAAGCAGAGATGACTGCTGCTTCATGTGTGCAGGACCCAGCACGGCTCAGTCACTGCTGGCCACTCTCTGTACTCATGTTGGAATTAATCACAGACCAATTCTGGATCTAGTGCCTATCTCCTTCAGAGGAAATGCAGCTTTCCCACCTTCAAAGACAAAAATGAATACTTACATTTCCTCTGTTCCTAAAAGCTTTAGATTTCAGTTCATTCAAGGTCTGCTCATCTTCTGGGTTTTTTTTCTGCTAAGGAGGGATAGAAACCAGATACCTGAACCTAGGAATGGATACAAAGACAAACATATCAGCAACTTTTTTCATATTGACTGCTTTACCATTAATACTTAATATTTCCACATATCCTTTTCATGAGATGGTTAATATAAAACCTAATGAACCATAGATGGCATTCCTTTTTTGCTCTGTTTCAAATTAAGAGTGGAACTGTACAAACTGAGAAATGAAAGCTAATATCTTTTCAAATAGAGAAGGCTTAAAATTCATAATATGAATACAGTAGATAATATATAAAACTTAGTAAAGACTGTGATACTTAGCAGGTCTTGGTAATTTCTGACCGTATATTATTATTATTCTGCTGACCTTACAGGGAGTTCATCAGGAGCCGTTAAGGTCAAAGAGTAGAAGCATTTGGACACAGCCAAATGGATTTTACACCTTTGTCTCTTTCTGACATTACTGTTTTGCTTCAGCAAACTGCCTAATATTAGATAAATCCTATTGGCTACCTTTCTAAATCACTTCAATTTTCTTTGTCCCTGGGCTACAGTTATATGATCGAGATCCAAAGCTATCACAGACTGTGATATACTATTTTACTTGCTCGTTTATATTAGAATGAACTTTATTAGCTTTTGGGCACGTGTCTATCAGTTTTAAAGATTAAGTATCATGTCGATAGATTCTATGCAGCATTCAAGTACACTGAATCATTTTGCCTGCTCTGAAATTATAAAAGAGTATTATTGCTTTTACAAAATACATTTTTATTTTGAAATGAACCATCACTCACAGCAGTCTGTGCTTACCAATGCTATCCTTCTAAAGTGATATTTTACAGAAAAAGCAAAGTGGAGATAGAAGCTCTGTAAGTAATTCTACATTTGACAACATATGAACCTTGTAAACACAAGTGTGTAACTGCCAATCAACTCTACACTCACCTTCTTTCATGATCTGCTTTCATCATTTATATATTCTTAATTTTCAATGTAATGTTCTTGTAACAGTGCTAACAATGGTCACAGTGCTCTTACCATGTAAAAAGTGACACTTTCTGCAGCCTTAAATTTGCAATTCTTTTTAAACAGAAAGTAACTAGTTAAATCACCTGTAAAAAATTACAAAGGCAAGCTTGCCTGTTTCAGTATCAAACCTAAGAAATCAAAGATGCTTTTTGAGAGGAAGCTGAGGTTTCTTCCAACACAGATGAAGCTTTTAGAGCACAAATCCAGCCTATAATAAGATTTTCTCATTTCCTTGCCAGTTTTCTATACTTCTGGGTTTGTGTTTTTAGTGACTGAATACAGTTTGTGATGAATGGGAAAATGGGCAATGATACTGTGTCCAGGATTTGAGCTAAAGTACAGCTACTTAAAGTGTGTGCCTTCAGGTCCCTCACTCTGGCATCGCTGGATTGGAATTACTGCTGATGGTGATTTTGGAACAGCTTTATTAATATGTGAAAGAGCATTTCTTTTCTGATTAGTTCATTTTTGGTTCTTCTAGTAGCTAAACCCTTGTTCCACCCATTCCATAACCGTGTCTCTGTAAATCCAGTAGGTACATTCTCTGGTTCAGGGATCACCTTTTGTCTTAATCTTTGACCAGGATTTCTTGGCACTGTGTGAATGGACACCTGAACAGGTGGCCCAAGGAGGAGATCTGTAGTCCATAGGTCAGCTCTCTGCATCCTTCTTCTCTCCAGCACAAGGTCTCAGTGGCATATTAAACAGTTATTTACCCTATTCTGACCTCAACATTTCTACTTTGTAAAGATTGAGTTAACACAGTGTTCTCATACATGGTATTGCATTGCTTACAATGATATTGCTCTAATTTTCCTATAATGTTACTGTTTTTTTCAAGTGGCATTAATTAAGGAGATACTGGACTTCTTAAAGAGCTTAGAGGACTGAACAGTCCCTTCTATGATTTAACAATAAATATCATTTCATTTAAGTTGCTTCTGAGAATTGGAACTCTTTCAGAGAAGCTAAGTGGAGCAAATAAGGATCTCAAGACAGCAACATTAACTGATGGGAATAAAGCCAAAGTTTTACATTTGCTTTCACATCCTCTCTTGTGGTATGTTTTAGTTTAAATATTTTGGCTCCAATCTCGAAGCTTCCAGTGTACAGGCAGATTGCAATGCCCATATGCAAAAAATTGCAGAATGGAAATCTTTATATTTTTAGCATGCATTTAATTTTTGTGCCTACACAATGTCATAGAAAATCCCCTTTTACTTTCAATTATTTAATGAAAGACTTTTCAGAAGGGCATTTTTAACGTAGGTCCACGTCAATTAAATGTATTATTAAGAATCAAACACTTCCCATGACTATCAGTGGATTGCAGTATTGAAAGCTTGCACATAAGCACAGGGAAATAGAACTTCGAGCACTTTCTCAACAAAGAGGCTCTCAAGATTTAATATAGGTAACCCAGTGGCTCTAATTAAAAGGAACCCTAAAACACTTTATGAATTCCAGATACTTGCTTTAAAGTCCAGTTGTGTAGCACAAACAGTTTTCTTTCACACCACTCTATGGAATTATAATCTGTACAGTTTCCTGACTCCTGTTTATAAAACACACAAATGTGAGAATTATTTATAAAGTCACAGCTGTTCTCTTTCCTAGCCTTTGTTTCTCTGAAGTCTTAAATATTTGTAAAAAATAAGAAAAGTAATTAAAGTATTGATGCATTAAGCAAACATTTCCACAGTCATGCTCCTTAAATAGGAATCATTTGTTTAAAAAGAACTTGATAAGTATATGTACAAAAATATAATGTTAAACAGTTACTTACATACAAACAAAGCCAACCTGCGCTTAAAGAAACAAAATAAACAGTGCCAAACCATTACTAATATTATAGTCAACCGCTCAAACATTAGGAACCCCCAGAACTGAGTGCAGTGCTTGGTGTTTGCCCAGATCTGTGAAGCAGCTATGTGCCATCTGCTCCTTGCACAAAGGACATGAGTTTGTTCTTGCTGGTGGGAACTGCTGTCTAAGAGCCAACACTTGGCATGCAAGTCCTTGACAAAGCTGGCAGTGAGTGCTTTTTAGCCTTTGAGTTCCCTAATAATATGCCCCTCCAGGGTGCAGGTCCCTCATGAGTTCTTCATTTCCTTCTTTATTCTGACTCAGCGGCCCGTGCAGACAGGACACTATCATTGCATACGTCTTGTGCATTCCCTCTACCTGCCAACATCTGACAGGCTTAATCATAACATAAATCAAACATTTGAGTAGCAAAATTTAAACTAGGCTTGTAGTTAGAAGCCTAGGGATTGCATGTTGCAACTATGACAAACACAAACAGCAAAACCTGTCCTTAGGATGGGTCAGGATTTGCTCGTAGCCATCACACACAACCTGCCTGGAACCCCCTGCCTCCTGGAGACAAGGGCAGCACCCTGCAGTTTGCAGTGGCCCTCACACTCTGGCTGCTTTCCATTTTCCATTCCTTGGAAGTTAGCTTTTACACACAAAAGGAAATGCCTGATAGTTGGAGCCAGATATCTTGGTAAAAGGGATTTTGCAGACTTGGTCATGTGTAATCAGATAGGGAGCAAATAATCTAGATAAATGCTAATGAAAGCTTTCTGGCACTTTGTGTATTCAAAGGCTATTTACCATTGTTCCTAGTCAGCTGGCTCGGGAACTTCCCGTTCAGTCTGAATTGCTCAGATTCAGCTGGGACCAATATAATTTTCATATTACATATGATGTAAGATGTTCTCTATGCCTACATTTTGCTAAGCTCATTATTTGTGGCATGAGTGGCATTGAGACCACACATGACACATTGTTAACACAGATGACAGACCCAGTGACAAACTGCCTTATCCAGACAAACCAAGGCAGCTGGTTTACCTTGACCACATACAACATGTTTACTAGCTTCTGTAACACACAGACTGGTCTGTGCATGTATGTTACAAAGTTATGGCAATCACATACCCTGTGTAGTTCAGGTGGCTTTTGCATGTTACCTGGGTCTAGCAGTGAGGATCACTGCACATCTTTGGTTTTGGTGCCCATTCCTAAACCTCACAAAGAGCAATTAGGTAAAGGAACTGAAGTGCAGGAGTCTCTTTGTACCATCTGGCATCACCCACAGAGTTGGTTCATCACTGAAGAAATCTCATGAGAATTACATTCAAAAGTTGAAACAACTTTTTACTGAGAATGTGCAAACTGCAGCAGCTGAAAAGCTGACCAGATTTAGCAGTTTTCACAGGGACAGCACCAACCATCCCTGTGCCAAACTTCAAATTCTTGTTTCAAATTCCACTGATACTAAAACTTTCTCAAAGAAAACATATCCAAAGTTTCTCATAGACAGGCAATGTATTTTTTCCTGTACTCCTACTCTTGGAAATGACTAGAGCATGATGGCTGAAATATGCCTTTTAAAACAAAAATCCACCTTGGACAATGCCCAGAGTAGAAGTTTTCAGCCCAAATGTTTCAAGTTTGGCAGAGGACCATAAAAAATTAGGCTATACTCACATGAGACTGTGCCACAATTTCCTTCCATGAGATGAACAGGGAAATATGAAGTAGATTTCAATAACGGAAAATATCTCAGTTGAGCTAACTGCTGACCTGACTTTTGGGCTGGCTTATTTACCAGAGCAACAGTGCAACAAAGGCAACCACACCATTAAGCCATGCTGCTTGCTGCTGAGCAGTGTGCTCACTCTGTGAGCTAAAGAATCCAAAGCATCACGTACATGAGAGAGCTCTGCTGGACTTACTTTCCTGACCTGATATAAGGATTATCTTTTTGAATCAGATGAATCTTCATGAAAACAGATAATCACTGGTCTCAGGGGTAGTTATTAGATATAATGAAAAATTATCTCTTACAGTCTATTACATCACCACAGAACAACAATAAATTGATGCATTTCTGTTGAAATTACGATTGAAATACCATGCATGTTTAGTTTTATTTCTCATCATATCCAGCTGCATGCTATTTCTGAGAAAAATTCCTGACTAAACCCAGCCACCTGAACTAAGTTTAACATTTAAATAGCAAGTGGCATTTAAGAATTAACATAATTCCATTAAAAAAGAAAAGCCATAGGCATCATCTTTGAAAATTTTACGTCAAGTAGCTTAATCAAATCACATAACGCAAAATTTTCCAGAGCTATAAACTTCTTCTTTACAGTTTTGCTAGGATTGGATCTTTTTTTTTTTTTTTTTTTTTTTTTTTTTTTAAACTTAATTCAGTTATCATAATTTTCCTTGCTTTGAGGGAGCACTAATTGTGACCATGAAATGGTAGAGCTCTCAATTCTTGGTGGAGCCAGGAGGGGGAACAGCAAAACTGCTGCCTTGGGCTTCCAGAAGGCGGACTTGGAATAGTTCAGAAGACTAGCAGGGGGAGTCCCCTGGGTTTCTGTGATTCCGTAATTCCCATATGCAGGAGCTTTCCAGTTGTCCAAGATCCACAGCTATGGGCTGTGAAGCAGCTGTGGAGATGCCCCCAATGCACTGTTGGACAGAAACGTATCTAACAGCAAGAGCCAGAATCCTTCAGCAGAGAGGGCCAGCAGTAAGACCTGGTCAATCTCTGTCTTGCTCTAGCCTTGAAAGTTACTGCTGCAGCAGGAATACTGTGGGAGAAATATCACAGGGATGGAGCCCCTACTATTTTAGTAGGTTTCTAACATTTGGCAGGGATGTGAAGAAGTCTCCCATCTTTGTTTCCCAGAGCTGGGTATACTGCTGCAAAGACACATTCTCTAGAGTGCAGGGATCCCTGGGATCCCTTGTTGTCACAGTCTCTACTTTGTAAATCTGGCATTACAACATACACTTAGCATGAACTGCATTTTGGTAGATGATCATTTTAATGCAAACTGTGTCAGTATAATTGTAGCAATAGCTGGACATCTTACAGCAAGACACCTATGTACTGAGGTTGTACATAAAAGCTGCACATGATCCTCACTCAAAACTTCCCCTGAAATCTGCTAAGCCAACAGTCAGAAACCAGGCAGATGACCACAGCATGAGATCAAGGCCTTCTGCCATGAAACAACTGTATCTGAATTTCAGCTCATTCTTCTGTTATTCTGGCTTCTTTTCTCTGTAGCAGAGAAAATAAGATTGTAAAAGCGCACACTTTCTAAACGTTTAAATATATGTTCAATCCAAACTCATAACACAGGGCAGCGTTCCTGCAGGGTGAGTGTTAGCCATAAAGCTTACACTCATGGGTACTTTTCTAGTTTCTTGGGCAGCTCACTGATGTTTCATGTTTTACATCTGTGGCACAGGTAGATCGAAGGATTCAAATAGAGAATACATGCCATACTTATTGTATATCTTTTTTGTAAATGGGGAACATTTTGAGTTTTAATAAAACAGAGAAATCAGCACAGATGGCCATTTTTCAGTTGGTATAAATATTAACCTAATCTATAAATATTAATCCAATGCTTTCTTTTATTTCTTTTTTTCTAAATCCACACACATTTAGCAGTAACATCTCTGCTGCTTTGCAGTCAAGCCCTGATGGCTGTACATGAGCTTTCAGGGATAGGGATGGCCTTTCTGTGTTGTGTTAAATTCCTGGTTCAGTCATCTCCTGCTATAACTGAGCTCCTCAGATGCCAACACAGCATGAGACAAAAATAAAAGCTTCTGAGCACATTCAACTTTGCTACAGCCACTGCCGAGTTGCGTGCTATTAGACTCATTGCATTGTGCCTTACATTTAAAATGTACTTCTGGTCTGCTTAAATATGTTAAGAATTATCCTGAGGGACCATAGTAAAATGTAGTCATGTTTATTTGTAATTGCTACAAAATGGTTTACAAAATTGTTAGTGTCTTTTATTATGCCTGCTACTGAAGCACTTGCCTGTTAATTAGAGAAATTTCAGCTGTCATAGTTGGCAATTATAGCTTCTGTATCACTGTCTGTTATGAATAGTCAATGAGAGCTGATTAATATGCATGAGTAGCAGTATATAGCGCGCTTTGGAGCCCAGTACGGCAGCCAGAGTGAAGCAGCAGAGGGAGTGTTGTGTACTGCCAGGGAGAGCTGTAAAGAAAAGAGCAGGGTTGCTCTGCAGCGTTCTGTGCGATACCACTGTGAAGTGCTCCAGGTCAGCCGACCCACCTGGGTGTTTCAAAGGATACCTGCATGCATGCTTGTTAACACAGATCTCTGTGGCTGCACTGCTGAATAAGGAAGATATTTTCTGCCACTTGTTTAAACATGGGATGCAGTTTGTGCACTCTACAGAAGCAAGAAGAACAGTACAAATTACTGTATGAAGTTTGTCAGGTAAAGCATTAGATTTCATTTCTAAAAGCAAATGTTCTCTTTTAGGCTTGTAACCACTGTTAATGACAGGAAGATGGAATACCAAAAATTGCTTATACAAGTAGAAATGAAAGGGTCTGTTGCCTAATTTCATGTCTGTAAGATAATGATTATGTTTTTACCTTCCCTACTTGACACTTGCAGAACATCAAATATTTAAATATATGCTATTATACCTCAAACTTTTTGCATAATTTTATATCAAGAAACAGGGCACTGCTTTATTTCTCTAGTATGCATCAGTAAAATTTCACGAGGAGGGTCATAGCTTGGTCACACACTCTGTGCAAGTTAGGAAGACACAGGCAATGACTGATGCTCAGAAGGTTTTGTCTCTGCTTACAAGTACGTATAGATACTTTCTGTGCCATGCATTCATTCACTGCTGAGTCTGCTTCCTGCCAATATAAGTTTATGTCCTGTTTTTTCACCTCTAAGTGCAGGAATATCAGCTAACAAATAGCTAGATTTGACAGCAGATGAAAACTAATACTCTACAGATCTTTATACACTCAATTCTTCATATTGAGCAGCTGATAAGTTTTCAAAAAATGTGATAACACACCAACTTCTATTATAAAAACATCATTTCCTGTCTTTCTGCTGTTCTTTCTGTCTGTATTGTTTATCTTTCTGAAATTTCTAACTTTGTTGCATCTGGAGTATAATTTTGACCAAAACAGTGATGGCCAGGTCTTTAAGGGACACACTCTTACTGATCTCTTGAAATAACCATCAGCGGATTACGGTTAATCCCCAAAAACATGAAGTGCATAGAAAACAACAGAGAAATAGGAAATATCCAGATCTCTCAAATTGTACTTTACTACTCTGCCATTCCTAGTGCTGCTTAGGACACATGACAGTTGCCAAGTGACATGAGGACTTGGGGGAGGGGGGGACATTTCCCAGCGCTGCCATGTGTTTGCTTGCCAGCAGAGGGTATTGCTCAGCATCACAGAGCAGTGAAACCCTGGGCTCTTTGCTGTGCTGCTACCTGCATTTGATCACAGATACTGATGGCACTGACAACACAGTGAATAATGGATGTGTTTTGTATGTTATGCTAATAGGGAAGCGATTAAATTTTAAAGACATAGTTTTGATCTAATTCCCACTTGCTTACCCAAAGGACACACTGTTGCTTTGTGGAGAAAAAAATAACTTGTGAGAACAAATAGAAAGATATGCTTACTGTCATTTCTATTTATACTAACTCACTTCCACTTGTTAAGCTGCTGTGCATGTGATGATGGGAAGAATTTCAGACAAAGATTATCAGATTTCTTGGATACTGGTTCATACTGAGAACTGGCTCCACATGCTGCCTGCAATAGCAGAGTTGGTGCTGGTTCTGCTGGTGAGCCCTCAGCTCAGATCATGCAGTGGCTGCTGTGATAGTTACTTATCCCACAGGGTTGCCAAGTTTTCATGCAGTCCAGATTTGATGGCATCAGTGAATCCCATTCAGAAGTTCAACAACCAGAACAACAAACTATTCGTAATTTGTTTACAAAGCTTTTGCAATCTTTGATGTGAAATGAAGGAATCAGAAAACCTTTGCAACTTACTGTCATCTCATAACAGATGCAAGGCAGCATTCTTTAAACACACGTCCTTAAAATCACTCACAGGTACAGTTCTGGTGATACCTGAGCTGACTGAACTATTTGGTACTGACTGCTGGTGCAGTGCAGTCTGACAGGGGTTTGGATTTAGAAATCAACTTGCAAAGTCTTGCAACCTTGTTTCTGCAGCAGAAGCAGCTCAGTGCACAGCAGCAGGAATTAATGTTGAGCATGAGATTCCTTTGGGGAAACATGGTTGGAATACCCTCAGCTCCTGTAGAAGTGAAAGGTGCCTGTAATCCTGTAAAACTAGAATTTCTAACATAGATCTGAATTCTTTAAGACTACAAAACCCGATTATTCCAGAATACAAATTACTATACAGAATTATTTCAACAGCATGCTACTTTCTCTCAAGATAAGTGGGAGGGAATTCTATAGCTTAGGGAGAATGTCCAGCTAATTAAATGTCACTATGACTATAAAAATACAACCTCATATAACTTGAGAGCAATCAGTAAAAATTTAACGGTAAGGGGTATGAAGCATCATTTTCACTAAAATACCAGGATATGAAAGACAAAAATTCTGAAATGTGTTAGCAGTAATATCTCTTACAGTAGGTTTTATTTTGCATCATTGGTGTAACCCTCATATTGTGCCATAAGCTGAGAGTGCCATTCCTGAGAAAAAAAACTAAAAGAAGTTTTTTATCAAAGTCTGAGTTAGACTAAAATTTACATAATTTGGTTTTAGGAAATATTGGGCATTGTTACAAATAAATCCCCTTAACCTTATTTTTAGAAGGTTAATGGCTCTGAGGTGTAGGAATTCAGAAAACACTTGCAAGAATTAATAATAGTACATAACTGCACTTTCTCTATTAGGCCAAGAGCTTTAATGTGGCTGGGAAAATAATGCTTCAATAAAATACAATTCCAGAAGGTCTGGTACATCTGGCTCTGTAAGTCCTCATAACAGAGAGCACAAAGAGGATCAAATATACCAGGGCTCAGGCTTTATCCCTTCCTCATCCATAGATAATTCAAATAGATCCTCTTCATTAAGAGCTTTGGCACATTGCCTACAATTTCTTTTTGGGCTGCTGTGAGCTTAATGATGCAGAACAATGGTCTTCCCTCTTGTTGAACACATACCTTATTGTACCTTTAATCACATAATAAAAAGCAAATTAAGACACCTAGTCATTAAAGGCTATTGTAGCTGTGCATATCAATGCTTTGCACTACAAATACAAAGGGGACTGTGGCAGCTTGAAATCCTGATGCTGAACAGTGTCACTGGTGATAAGCATGCTTGGGGCAGCAACATGGTGTATCTACCATAGATATATCCTGAGGTTCACTTCCCAGTTGCACAAAGCATATGAAATGAAGTAATTACATGCTATTAGAGTTCAGGTTTTGATCTATATGGAAATTTTCTTCAGAATATTTTTGTTGGTGAAAATAAAGGGACAAAGGGAGTTTTCTTAAGGGTAAAATCATAAAATTGGGAAGATGTTGCAGGCCAGTTTTCCAGTTTTCTTTTCTCAAAGTCTTTAGCTCCTGTACAACAACAGCAGAAATATGGGCACTTCCTTTTGTAGGGAAATACTTTGGGGAACAAAAAATAATCTCCACTGAAGGAAATTCAGAGAAGAATACAACACCTGAAGCTTTTGAGTTTGTAAATAAAAATAAAAATTAGGACCTCAGTTTTTTAACTACCTATCACACATTTACACACATTTTGAAAGGTAAGCATTTCCTAAGTAGACATTTAAAAATTCCAAGGGTAAGAACACAGGGCTTTAAATCAAATGACTCTCACTGTACAGGCAATGTTCACAGCTGTTCCCTGGGATTCAAGATGACGGAGTTCATCTGCTTCTCATGCTGGGAGTATATCGTAACAACAACCCATCAGAACCTACACTTCAAGATAAGAAATTGTGGTTTAAGCCAGAATGGGCACCAACTCCTTACTCTAGACTTTCCCTCCAGAATAAGGACAGAAACACTGTCAGGAAACAAGCTCGCATTGCCACTGTCCTGGCTTCAGATGATGTGAGAGCAGACGACTTCTACCTCTCTGACTCTTGAACTGGCACCTCTCACATAAAATGACCTCGTAGTGTTTTCAGAACTTGAAAGCTCTGTCCACATGGTCTTTGTCAGGCACATTTCTGAGACAAGTGTAACAACAGCAAAACAATAGTGGGCAAACTGGATTTGTCCTTTAAACTAGATTAAGATATTATGTGGCTAAAGTAATATAAACACCAAGGTTAGCATATAAATTGCTGTGCTAATGAGAAGATGGTAGTGATGAGGAAGTAGCTGACACTATATTTCATTTTCAACTTCCAGCATCAGTTCTTGCAAGGAGACTGATACACAAGCTAGTTGCACTGAGCTGATCTCTGATACGCCTCTCTTTGTCATTAGAATTCTATTCACATATTTAGAATTATAGAAAATAAAGCAATCAGTGTTAACAAAGGCTGATTCAAGGACATAGACTGACTAGACTTACTTAAACATTTCTGGGCAATGATGTTATTCCAAATCAGGGCCAAATCGGAGCTTTGTGCCAAAACAGAAATCCACCTCGAAAAGAAATTTCTAATCAAAGCTGTAAGGTTTGGGAAATAAAAATAATTATGTATATATGTCTATATGCTTTTCACACCCTCCAATTTAATTGGGCAGCTAGAGAATTAGTTAGTCTGCATTTCAGTCGTTTTCAGTGTTAAGACTGAACTGGTTATGCCAATTATACTGGTCTACTTGATATACAGTGTATGGCTTCAAATACACTGTATGTACACTTTCTGTGCCGCAGCTGAAATTAAGAATACTGTTGAAGTTATATTCTGTCACTTCACTACCGTTAAACTTGACCTCAATAACAGTTGTGAACCTACTGCACTTACTTCAAAGTAGGCATATTTGCTTAAACAAGACGTTAATTCCAAGGGCTTTGTTCTAGACAGAGTTTTCTACTGCTGAATTAGTTCAGCTGTAGAAAAACTCTGCTTGACATACTGGAGACTCATAATCTTCAGAAAACTGCCCTTTAATGATTGTGGCGTCTGTCTGTGGCTCAGAAGTCCCCTTTCTTAATTAGACATTTACCAGAAACTGGCAATTGAAATTTTCCTCTTCACTTGACAATGAATAATGTAATGCCTCTGTTAGAAATTCTCTGAAGATACTCTTCATTGCATGTTAGAGGGATATTTTGGTCATTAAAGGAACATAAACAAGTTGTGATATGAAATAAACAAAATGCCTTATGGTTACTTGCAGTATAAATGGGCAACTTGACCTACTATGTACCTGAAATTTCTTACTGCTTCATAGTCTTCCTAAAATCTGCAGTGTCTTT